TTTTTTTTTTTTTTTTTTTTTTTTTTTTTTTTTTTTAATATAGTGCCTTCCAAGATTCTCAAAGATTCCCAGGGAAATTGCTAGAGGCCACTTAGACCTTTTTGTACTCTTCCAAGATATCAAAGTTCACCAAGAACAAGGAGGAGTGTACTTTCAGGGGTTCCCCCCCTCCCCACTGAAGCATCTCTCTGTCTCAAGTTACTGTTTTTTTCCCCTTCTGTCTGCTCTTTCAGGTGAGGATGGTGTCCTTTGTCAATAATAATAACTAGAATTGTGTAGCGCTTCACAGTTTGCTAAGAGCTCTCTCTGTGTTCTTGCCTTTGGTCACCACAGTAGACCTGTGAGGTAGGTAAAGCTGGTAAGCTCAGGTCACCTTTCAACCTGTCTCACCCATGGCTGCAGCATAAGGAGTAAACAGATCATCTCATTTCTCATGCCCGTGCCTTTCTTTCATAGACCCCTGGAATGGGATGTCCCAGGCATGTGGGATGTGTCAGTGGGTATGTCTGTCCATTTCTGGCTCTTTCTGAATTTTCCAGGGAAAGGAAGGAATATACCCTCCTTGAGTAGGGGTTTGTCCAATGACTAGAATTTCATGAACTCTTAGGTAACAACAGTGATGTGGACAACAAATGCCTGGGCATTGGTGACTCGATTTGCCTGGGTAAGCAGTAAATGGCATTGCCAGGATACCCATACCTTGGGTTAAATTGAAGTTTTCCCTAGCCAGCTACTTGCTGAGGCTGAATTAATCTGTTTTACTTTAAACCCATCAGTGAGGCCACAGAAGAAACTGTTAAAGTCAGTAGTCATTGACCTCCAGAGCTGTTCTGTCCAGTCTGGTGGCAGATACTCACATAGACTTGAGTCCTTGAAATGTGATTAGTCAGGATTGCAAAATACACTAAGTATGAGACACACTGGACATTTGAAGACTTGGTGTGAAAAAAAATGTGAAATATCTTAGTCATAATTTTTATATTCATTACATGTTGAAGTTATATTTTGGTATTTTAAATAAAATAACACTTATTACCAGGATTAACTTTGCTTGTTTATTTTTCCCTTCTTAAATGTGGCCCCTAACGATTTATAGCTGCACAGGACTTCCTTTGTGGCTTACATTCTAATTGTATTGGACAGTGCTGCTGTTGAGTAAAGAAAGGGTTACTACAGCTTATCACTCTTCAGCTTTACCAAGCCTCTGCCCATGTACTTGATAATAATGTACAACCAGAATGATGGTAACAGGCACACAGGAAGATTATGGAGTGAGATCTTCACACCATCAAGATTTGTGTGTCTTTTTTTTTTTTTTCTTTTGGTACCTCGGGATTGGGAGGTGAAAAGTGTAAATTCACATCCTGTTATATTTGTTTAACATTTAAAAAGAAGAGCAGATTAAAACAAGTTTTTGGTATACAGTTCCTTCACACAGTGGCTTAATTGAGATATCTTTCATCTAGGAAAAGTTTTCTGTTGACCTGAAAAAGCAACTCTGGTTGCCTCAGTACCTTTGATACTAGGTTACCTCCCTGTGGCTAGTACTGGGCAGCTTCACACAAAATGCCTGTGCCCTTTTGGACCCTTACATACAGCTTCTTAGAAAGACCTGGATACTTTCTGTGTGAAAATCTAAAAAAAAAAAAAAAAAAGATAAAAAGGAAGAAATGTATGGCTCACTCTTAGTACCAAGAGGATGTATTCTTCCAGATTGCATAACGTGTTCCTTATAAATTTCCCATAATAATGATGTACAGGTATTGACTTTTTAAAAAAAGATTGACTTGTGCAAAGTCCTTAGCTTATAGGACTATTTTTAGCTGTTTTTGCTAATCTCTTCTTCCAATCCCCATTTTATGAATACATCCTCATGATAAACAGCTCATGTAGATTTTTGCCATTCTTAGGACTGATGAATGTGTGTATGATAATTATGAGCTTGAGGTTTAAAATTATCTGTAGGAAGCCTGAGGTAAAAAATTTACTGAACCTGGCCACATGGATAGCCTGAGCTCATGCTGGTATTGCAAGACAGATTGGTGCATTAGAAAAGTTGCTGTGTTCAGAACATACTAATTTCTCTCACTCTTGTTATTAGTCTTTAGCTACACTGTCACCAGTTTTACCATAATATTAATAGATGTAAATGCTTTTCAGTATTCCCTTTGAGGTAGGAAATGTTATTTACATTTTGCAGTTGAATAAATTGAGGCACAGAGAGGTTAAGTACCTTGACCATTGTCACCCAGCGGGCAAGTAACAGAGCAGTATTTGACTCCAAATGGTTAGGTCTCACTTCAGTCCCTCTTCTCAGGCCTTCAGGATTCTATCTTTTTTTGGTACCAGAGATCAAACTCAGGTCCTTGCGCTTGTGAGGCAGGTGGTGGAACCTCTGAGATAAATCCCCGGCCCTTCAGGATTCTGTCTTAAGTGGGGGAATCATTGTATATACGTCTTTTTCTTCATTTTCTCTGCCACAAAATTATTTATAATCAAATGAATTCGTAATTCACGGCACTTTGCCAGCCAAATAACTCAGCAAAAGCTTTGTAAAGCATCCGATCTTTTACAACACGTGCACTCAGTCACACATGATGGAAACCCCTTAGGATTAACCAAATGGTAGTTTTAGCTTTTTCTTGTAAAGGAATCAGCACAGGTAATGGAGGTCTGGATAAGTCCTGTTGTCCAGATCTATCATTCCTAGCATGTGGCAGAACATGTGATGTCCATCCTAATGGCCTTCATGCACAGTGGTTGCTCTGCCCCAGTGTTGCATTTCTGTTCCAGGTAAGAGAAAGGAGACCATGGAGAACAGAAGCACGGTGGCAGCCATGCCTCTTTAATTAGTTCTGTCGAAGCTCCTTTAGGTAAAGTGGCCTCCACCTTCGTTGTCAGAACTGGCCATTTCATGCTGTAAGGGAAGTTGGTTATTGTCTTTTTTTTTTAAAGTGGCCTAGATACAAATTGGAATTTGGACAGTAAGGAAGAAGGGGAGAATAGACATTGGCATGTACTTGGTAGGATCTGCTGTACAGGAATTTACATGTATTAATTTTCATAGGTCAGCGCTCCGAGCAGGATGCATGCCACAGTTTCCTACTTACAGCAGCACAAAGGCCAGCTCTGCTTTAGAAATACAGTGTTAAATCTTATTTATTTATTTATTTATTTATTTATTTATTTATTTATTTATTTATTTATTTATTATGGTACCTCCGAGCAGGATGCATGCCACAGTTTCCTACTTACAGCAGCACAAAGGCCAGCTCTGCTTTAGAAATACAGTGTTAAATCTTATTTATTTATTTATTTATTTATTTATTTATTTATTTATTTATTTATTTATTTAATTTATGGTACCGGGGATCGAACTTGGGGCCTTGTGCTTCTGAGGCAGGCAGCAGAACCACTGAGCTAAATTCCCGGCCCTATAGCATTATGTCTTCATTTCTGTTTTCTCAGGTCAAAACCTTAATTTATCCAAGGTCTGTGCCTCTAAACTTGATTGAAATATCAGGAGTTTTGTAAAATGTAGCTACCCTGAGTTTTATTTCTGCTTACAGGCTGTTGGGGAGTGTGCTCACCATGCAGGAAGGGAAACTGATTTGTCCCAGCAGCTCTGTCGTACCATGGCCCTTGATCAGCCCAGAGGGGGCAGCTCTCAATTGGGGCATGGCTCAGTGAACACCTCCGTAAAATCCAGCTTGTGTCCCAGCTTCTGATCTTCCCCATCTCCAACCAAAACTAAGGGCTTTTCTCCTTCAAAGGCAGAGCCTGTTGTAGTCAAGGTATTTGCCCCTCTTCTTCACTGGCCAGGGCGCTGCTCTTTCCCTGTATTGGCAGTCCTGTTGTGCCTCACTGCGGGCTCATGAAGGGGTTGGGTTTCTGTGTTAACTGTAGAGACCTGGTACACTGTGGGTCCACTGCAGTGTACTATCTTCTACCATTTTTTTAGTTACTCTTCTTGCTGCCGGGACAAAATACTCGATACCTACAAGTTAGACGAGGAAAGGTTTATAGTCTGTTAGCTCACATTGTGTAGAGGTTTCAGTCATAGTCCGCTGGTTCCAACGAAAGGTGGCATGGCAAAGGGGCACAGCAGAGTGGCAGGCAGGAAGCAGCAAGCCTTCCTTTTTCTTTTCCTTTTTATTCTGTCCGGACTTCAAGCCTATTGGTTGGTGCCACGCACACCCAGGGTCGGTCTTCCCTCTTCAGTAAATCCATCACCCACAG